CTCTGGATGCCATCCATACTCAACCTTAAGTTGATATAATCCCAACTTCAATCCAGGTTCCCTCTAAAGTCAACAGGCAGGAATATGAACTGAATGCTAAATGGATTAGGAGCTCCTTGAGGTGATGAAGGAAAAAAAAATCCCAGCCTTCCCATCTCCTTTAAATTGAAGTCTTCAAATGACCTTTCTTGCTCTTCTCAATGATTTTCTACATCAAATTCCATATTAAGGACTAAATTCTATAGCTATTTTTTCATTGATTTTGCTATGAGATTTATGGAGCTGTCCAGACTGTCTCAGAGAAGTGTGTCTGAGGGAAACTGAGACCCAGTAAAGCCACCATATGACATCTCAAGCTGATAGACCAATGTTTACTACCCACATCTTTCCTAGGTTAATTACTAGCCCATGGCATACCATGAATCATGATCTGTCAGCGACAAATACTAGATGACAGAATGGCTTGTGCTATTGAGAAGCTGAAAAGATCCCCCCCAAAAACCATGAGGAAACCTGAAACTGCATGAACAATGAATAAAATGGCATTTGGAGGTAGAATTTCAGGTAAGCTTGAATGGGCTAGACCCAGCTGCCATATGCACTTGAAAAACTTGGTATTTTAAATGCAGTGGTACCCAGTCTGTCTATAATTCACTCTTGGCAGCAATGTGGTGTTACCCTCACAGTGGCAGCCTGTCAAGCCCTGTCAGGATCCTGCCTATGAAGTTTTAACCTTTCACTGGATGCTTTCAGGAAGAAAAGAACGAAAGCAGATGTTGGACATAGTAGCCTGCCCTGCTCCTTTTCTCCTCCTATTTCCTTTCACTATTTTAATTTCTTGATGCCCTCCTTCTAATTCTTCCTCTTGTTGTCTTTGACTGGCTTAAACTTCCCTCCATTTTCTCATCTCTGTGTGTTTATACTTTTTATCTTACTCAAAGTCTGTCATGACTGCACATACTTGCCTCAGCCAGAAAGACCCTACATCCCAGTATCTCCTTGGTTAACTGTTAGAGCCCCCACTGCCCAGCTCCAGCTCACTATGCCGGCGGCACTTCTGTTCATTATATTCCCTGTGCGCTTGAGAAGCATCTTTATATTTCTGCTAAAATGCTGCTCACCATGTTAGTCTTCAGGTCACCATCCCTACTACGTTATGCTCCCTTTGTGGACAGAACTTGCGGTACCCCTCCCATAAGTCTCAGGGTCCGGCAAGTAAATGGATTAATGGCAGGATGGGTAGAGTGTATTCTTTAAAAAGCACTGTCTGTAGTTACATACCATCTGCTGAGCTGACCAGGCTCCAGCGGACAGTTCCAAACCCATGGTCACACATATGGCCCTGATTAATCTCAGTGGGCCATGAAGCAAAACAAATAGACATGAATGTGAGAGAGATTTGTCAGGAAGGAGAGTAAGCAGGGTTGGTAGGGAGGTGGGAGTGAGAGTAATCAGTCTGCAGGTGTATATATGCAAAACTGTAAAAACAACAACAACAAAACCCCTATCATCTTGAAGAATGGATTATATCTAAAATAAAGCAAGTTTACTAGAATGTTAATGTAATAGTTTACTCTAGAAGGTGGGTGTTCACTGAATTCTTTCAACTTCATTGTGTACTTGAAACTTTATTATTTTCATAATAAAATATTGAGTAGGTGAGCAGCCATTACATGTCTTAAACATTACATGTTTTAACCACCATAAACCTTGGTAGTTAAAACAATTCTCAAGGTTTTAACTACAGACCATTTTATCCATGGCAATCCAACATAAGGGCTATGTTTTAGATCCCAAGAGATGTCCTCAAACTCCTCTGGAGTGGCAGAGCTAAACTGCCTTCCAGTAGCTTTTCATTGGGAGTTAATGGAGCCTGACTCTCCTGATAAGCACAGTCCTTTCTACTCTCCATTATTAACTAGAAACTGGTCCTTTGGATTTCTCTAAGGTGCACATCTTATCTCTCTGATCTAACCCCCAAACAAAGTTGTTATGTTTGTGTAAAACCCTCTCTTGACATCCATGGCATCTGCCCATCCCTTCCCTGGGGGTGACTATGATGGTTGGAAAGAAAATGGCCCCCACAGGGAGTGGCACTACTAGGAGGTGTGGCCTTGTTGGAGTAGGTGTGGCCTTGTTGGAGGAAGTGTGTCACCATGGGGGTGGGCTTTGAGGACTCCTATGCTCAAGCTATGTCCATTGTCATAGTTCACTTCCTGTTACTTGCACATCAAAATGAACCCTCAGTTCCTTCTCTAGCACCATGTCTGCCTGCATGCCACCATATCCTGCTATGATGATGGACTAAACCTCTGAAACTGTAAGTCACCTCAATTAAATGTTTTCCTTTGTAAGAGTTGCCATGGTCATGGTGTCTCTTTACACAATAGAAACCGTAAGACAGTGACAACTTATGATTTGAGTCAAATACTGTCTTCACTTTCTGAGTACACCTTGGACTTTGCCAATGATACATTACAGCTGGCTCACAGACAGCTTAGTCTATGCAGGCTGCCTTGACCAAAAGGTTAAAGTCATTGATCTTCATTGAGCCTCCCTTAGAACTTAATAAACTGCTTCACATAGTACATTATATCTTTCTTTTTAAATTAAAAAAAATAACTGGAAGTGGAAGCATACTCCTATAATCCCACTTTGGAAGACTGTGGCAAAACCAAATCAGCATGGGCTAAAAAAAGAATAGCATGTAAACACGGTGGAAATTGACATGCTTCATGGCTCTGCCCAATATGGGTTCAAACCCTGTCTCTGTGTCTACTGCTTCCTAGACTTGTGATCTGAGAAGATTACCATCTTTCTGTGCCTCTATGCCTCAGTTTCTTTATTGGCAGTAATATGTCTTAGAAGATTATTGTAAAGATTATATGATATTATACAAACATACAATACAGAAAGATTGTTTATGTATATGACAGAAATAGAATTAAAGGATCAAATATGCAGAGTAGGTTAATGGATTAGTTCCATCTTCTCTCCCACTTAACCTTTAATCTTCCAATTCTAAAATAAAAAACAGAACTCTTAGGGGTTGGGGATTTAGCTCAGTGGTAGAGCGTTTGCCTAGCAAGCACAAGGCCCTGGGTTCGGTCCTCAGCTCTAGAAAAAAAAGAAAAAAACAAAACAAAAAACCCAGACCTCTTAAACCCAAGTGGTTGCTAATAACTTATGAGTGAAAGTTGTTTGCCACAGCCTCATAGAAGAGAGATTTCTTTTAAATAAAGATCACTTAAAAGATATCTGTTTTCAAGAAAATTGCTTCTGTGTGCTATACATTTTGAATTCTTTTCAAAAAATGGAAATTTCCAGGATGTATCTTATTATAGGAACAACAACAAAAGTAGATGGCACCAGAGCTAGAGGTTTGCACAATAAAGTTATGCTTTTAAATTAATGTAGGATTGGCTATACTACTCTAAAAGGTAACCTACATTACAACAAACGCAATGTGCAGAGGCTTAGATAAACAGACCTTTGCCCAAGCTGCAAGGCCTCTGTACATGTCCCACAAGATCCTCCTCCTCCTCCTCAAAACAAAACCCCAAAGGAACTTCAAAACAATTTTCAGAACATCTTCACACTGGATAGAGCTGACTAAAGGAACATATTTCTTTTGAAGAGGTTTATAAGCATTTCATTTTCATCAGAAAATTACCAACAAATTATCAGACTTTATATTTATGTTTTTTCTTAAGTAGAGCATATAGCTGGGTCTCTTTAAATAATTTAAATTCATGGGTTCAGATGCTATTGGTAAGCCTGTACACAAATTTTATATAAGAAGGAAGCCTGAAATTTTGACTGTGCCATATTTATCTTCGTATTCTGGACAACTTCTGAAATCTCACACATTGTACCATTCAAGATATTTTGAATGATGCCTGCATGGATAAAGTACTTCTACTTAAATGAAAGATAAAATTCAGGATTTTTGCTAGCATCTGCTGTTAATAAAGGGATTTCTCAGTGTATAAGAAAAAGAAAGAAAGCCGGGAGGTGGTGGTGCACACCCTTAATCCTAGCACTCAGGAGGCAGAGGCAGGTGAATCTCTGTGAGTTCGAGGCCAGCCTGGTCTACAGAGTGAGTTCTAGGACAGCCTGGAATAAACAGAGAAACTCTGTCCTGGAAAACAAACAAACAAACAAACAAACAAACAAACAAACAAACAAATAAATAGATAAATAGATAAATAAATTTCAAGGAGGACCCTTGTCCTCCTTTATCAACATTCATATAGTTATTTCTTCACTTCTCTACAATGAGAAACTGACATTTAAAATACACAGTTTCAAATATATGATTTCATTATATGTATCATTAAAAACTAACACTTTTTTTTTGTTTGCCTGTTTTGGCTTTTGGTTTTTTTGAGACAGAGACCCTCTACAGAGCCCTGGCTGTCCGGAACTCACAGAGACCCACCTGCCTCTGCCTCCTGAGTGCTGGGATTAAAGGCGTGCGCCACCTTGTCTAACTTACATTGACTCGTGATAGTAGCATTCCATGTCATTTCCAAAAAGAAACAAAAGTTTCCTACTTTTACTTGTTTGTTTATTTTTTGTTTTGTTTGTTTTGTTTTGTTGGCTTTTTGAAGACAGAGTTTCACTTTGTAGCCTAAGTTGGCCTAAATTCACTATGTAACCCACATTAGCCTTGAACTTGGCCAGTGTGGCAAATCAGGTGTGTCAGCCTGCCAGAAGGTCAACCAGAACACAGAGCTAGAGATGACTGTAGAGATAGCCACTCTGACATCTCACTTTATAGACAGGAAAATTTCACTCCAGAAGTTGAGTGGCTTAGTGTTAAACACATAGTGAAAGACTCATAATAGAACAGGTTTCCTGATGATAGGGAGGCACACATAAGAGCTTTTATAAAGGCTTGGGACAAACTGTACCCGAACTGTGCCTTGTGAGACTCTTCAAATGCTGGGACAGTAGCAGTGAGGCAGAGACTCAAACCCTTTCCGAGGGATACTCACCTTCAGTACTGGAGATAGGAGTACTATCACACTTGCTTTCACACTGCTGCATGGACGGAGGCCGTACAGTTTCCGGACAGTCAACAGATGCCTGCCCAGTATAGGAGAGACACTGGACAGTTCGCATTTGCTGTCCAAGGCCACACTGAGCAGAGCACTAAATCCAAAGACAGAGAAAAACAAAGTATTGATTTTCACAATGTTTATCAGATAAAGATATTATTTTAATTATTGTACATATTAACTTTTAAAGTCCATATGCAATTGTTATTGAGAAGTGTATGACTCTTTTGTTTTACTATGGAATTGGTTTCAAAACTCAAGGATTGCATTGTTGCCCTAGAAAACTGAAGCAGTATAGTACTCAGAAGACAATGGATGGTAATTTCTTGTGCTATCTTAACTATTCCAAACAAGGTTGGCAGAATTAACAAGGGAGTAAAGAGAAAAATACTACAGAGGAGTAAATACTCAGCGATTCTCAGGCCAGAGTTGCCTCTGGACTGTTGTTTATTATAGGTGTTCAGATACAGCCTGATGGCCCGACAGAGCACTCAGGATCTGATCAAATGCTAGTCAGTACAGCAGTGGTGACTGGGCCAGTCAGTAAGAACTCGAGGGCTGCACAGGGTGGCTCAGTGGGCAAAGCTCTGAGCCCACAAGCCTGATGACCCGAGTTCTATTCCTGGAACCCACATAAAGGTAGAACGTTGTCCTGTGGCCTCTACACACTGTGTCACAGGCATGTGCACACACATACACACACATCATGCACACAATAATATAAATAACAATTTTAAAATGAGCTTGTATAAGCACCTTGAATTTCCTAAGGAATTATCAGCCACATATACCTTCAAATAGTCTGTGTTGGCTAGGTAGCATACTGCCCTCTCTTTTCAGCTACATGAAGGTAATAACTACCTGGTTTAAAAGACAACTCATGACACCATGTCTGTATCGAACCTTCAAGAGTATACTATCAATTATGTACCATTAAACTCTCAGTGAAGCATTTTGTTAATAATGCAATAATGTTAGCAATGGAATGCTTAATCTTATCAGGCATATTTCATTTGAGAATTTGTAAGTTAAATTAAGTGCTTCTGTAGAGATGCAAAGCTTTGGTTATTTTATGAGCTTACTTCTTCCCATAGGCCTGGGCACAGAGCAAAGTGTTCCCATAGGCTGTATGGAAATGGAACATCTTCCAGGCAAAACACAAAAGGAACATAGGTACTGCTGTGCTCCATGAGAATTAGCTACCTGGAAATCCATTTCTTTCTTGTGTGTGTGTGGTATATATGTGTTGTGAGTGGTGTGTGTGCACGTGCTATATGTATGTGTGTGTCCATGTGCATGTGGACGGCAGAGGTTGAAGTTGGGACTCTTCCTCAGTAGCTCTCTACCTTGTTTTCTGAGACAGTATCTCTCATCGAGCCTGGAGCTCACTGAATCAGCTGGACTGGCTTGGCTGGTCAGCAAGTGCCAAGGGCCCTTCTGCCTCCTCTTCTCCCAGTAGTGAGGTCACAGACACACACCACCACACCTGGCTTTTTTACATAGGTTCTGGGGGTCACAACTCAGGTTCTCATGCACACATTACAAGCACTTTACATCCTGAGCCACTGTCCCAGGCCCTAACAATTTACTTGCTATGATATTATTATTAAAGAGTCACAGTATGAAGTTCAGGCTGGCCTTGATCTCAAGAGCATCCTGCTTTAGCCTCTCAAATGTTGGGATTATAGATATGAGTGACTACTCATAGCTGAGTATTATTTTCTTAACGTGGCTTAAGAGATTTCCTCTTCGATGTTTAGAAGAACAGTATTTAATTTCCCTCTTACATAAAATACACCAATTTGGTTTTCTTTTAAATTATTTTTTACTTGCTAGAATTATATTCATTTATCATGAATGGTCTGACATTTTAAAGAATACACACACACACACACACACACACACACACACACACACACATATATATATCTTGCCAATGGCAAGATAACACAAATTAACCATATGTATATATATAGTATGGCCAATGGCAAGATAACACAAATTAACCATATGTATATATATAGTATGGCCAATGGCAAGATACCACAAATTAACCATGTGTGTGTGTGTGTGTGTGTGTGTGTGTGTGTGTGTGTGTGTGTATGGAAGGAAGGAAGGAAGGAACATAGGAACTGGGCCAGAAAAAAGGCTCAGTGGGTAAAGAAGGTAGCTGCCAAGTCTAATGACCTGAGTTTGATCCTCAGTGCCTCTATCACATACAAAAAATACATGTTAAATTATTTTATTATTAAGGAAAGAAAAGTAGAAATTGAAAAATAAATTAAAATGAGTTTGATAGAAAATATATAAGACACATGCCAAAAGTCCTGTATACTATTTCCTAATCCACAGTATCCATCAGAGAAAAGTAATTTGAAGTGTAAGCATTAATTTTTGTATCTTACCAATCACACCACTCTTTTAATTAAGGCCCCCAAAACTTCTCTGTGAGATTAGGAGGAATTATCCACTTTATGAGTGGGAAAGTTAAGACATTGGTATTAACCGATTGGCTACTGAATTAGTTGAGAACTAGGACTGGAATGCTGTGGCTTGTTTACACTTCTGTTTATTGAGTCACTTGACTTTGAACTTGAAATGGTAGGATCCAAAGAACAAGTGAATTTGGAATATTTGGGCCTTGGAGGGTAGTGCATGCCTATTATCCCTATTAACAGGTTGCGGCATGAGGATTGTGAGTTTGAAGCCAGTATGGCCCACACAGAGTTTTGGCCCTGTCTCAAAATGATAACAATAGCAATAATCATGATAGCAATAGAGTGGACTGTTTCCAGGTGTAGAGAAATGGGGCTAAGAGGGTATGTATCCATAGCTGGTCTCCATGCTTGCTTGCATAGTGTCCCAGGTAAACCTCATACTTAGGATTTCCATGAGCTTCCATACTCCTGTCTGGAGCCCTCACAGTGGTCAAATCAGAGAGCTGAGGTTTGTATCTCAAAGGATCCCACAGTCTGGCTTCCATACCTGGCCCCAGTCTCCTGTCACCCAGCGGGGAGGAGGGCAGCGGCCCAGACTACAGCGGATGCGAGCAGGAGGCTTGCTCTCCTCTGGACACTGTGCAGCTGGGAATGTTTTAGAAAGGTCACTGCTCTTGCACAGAACAATCCGATGCTTGAATCCTGGACCACATTTCGGAGTACACTGGAAATAAAAACAAATATTGAATAACAACAGTTTAAATACAGGAAAATGTGAAGAGACTATTGAAGTAACTGTGCATATGTATACAATACACACTATAAGAAAAAGCTCTCAGTTATGAAGCTCCTTCACCAGTGTAAGGGGAAGTACTTTAATCTTTTCCCTAAGGTCTTTAAGAGCTAAATTCAATGTTTGCTTTTCTTGGCTAACATTCTCTTCTTTTATTAGGGATAGGCTTATTCCTCCATTCTTCCCCAGCCTTGGCCTCCTTCAGCTGTGATAAGAGTCTGCTGAGTTTTGGAATGTGGAAGCCTACTTGCTGGGTGTAGTCTTGAAAGGGAACTTTTATGTTATTAGTAGACCACAAGAACGTGTCTTTGTGGAGAAGGCTGGTGGTGGAGTAGATCAACTATTCCACAGTATGGTAGTCAAGAATACATGTTTGCTGCAAGGGGCTGTTGCACGAATACCTCTGGACGTCTCCCTGTCCGTAAGTCACAAACATAAGAACTGGGTGTCTGCTCTTCATACTAAGAAAACGACGCTTCTTCCTATGTCACAAATCCTTTCCTTCCCCTGTCTCAAGATGCTTCTTTAAGTCACCTACTTACTGCAGTGGCTGACTAAAGTTCTACAGTTTTCTGGACCCTTCCTCCAAATCCTCTTCTTCCCTCAGTCAATTGAGGACTTATAAACATGTGTGAGCTGTTATTTGTATCTTTCATCTAAACATATTTCCCGATCTTCTATAGCAGTGGTTCTCAACCTGTGGGTTGCAACCCTTTTGAAAAACCTCTATCTCCAAACCACAACAGTAGCAAAATTACAGTTATGAAGTAGGAATGAAATAATTTTATGGTTGGGGGTCACCACAACATTAGGGACTGTGTTAAAGGGTTGCAGCATTAGGAAGATTGCGAACCATTGCTCTATAGCATGGAATTGAAGGGTAGGACATGAAAGAAAATAGAGTAACCATGTTCAAAAGGCCTGTATTCTTATTTAGGAGACAGGCATGTAAGCACAAGGCTAATGCTACATATTATGAGAGTGGACATAGGAAATAAATTCCTGTGTGCTTTATCATCATTGACTTTTGACTGGTTTTATTAGGTGTGGTCTTTGAGCCTGGTGTATTGACATAGAGAAGGAGAAGAATGTTGAAGTTTTTTTTTTTTTTAGATGAAAAAAATCAAGGATTCAATCTCTTTATCACAATGAATCTAGTAGTAGAATGCATTCCCTCCAATTTAGAAAAGACTCATCAAGTTGTATTTTGACAGACAACATGCAGTTCTTCTAAGATCCCTTCAGAGGAGGCAAGGGTTAGGAGTTAAAAATCCAGAGACAAAAATCTTGATCTCTTACTCATTTTCATAGTCAAATCAACACCCTTGTATCCCTGCTACTGCCTCAATCTCCCCATATAACCTACCAGGTCTCATTAATTCAGCTCTTTTTATTTTTGTGACTTGTCTCCATTTCTACCACCATGAATCACATTTCATGCAAATATTATTTCCCACATGAAATTTTATTACTGCTTCCTAATACTTCTGCTTCCTGCCTTTACCTCACAACAACACATTTTATGAACTTCAGAGGAAAGGCATCTCATGGGGGTCTCTGAGGATAGAGGGAACTACTCTACATTTCTGCACATTCTTATTCCATTTGATCTTAGTCAAAAGCTGAGAAGTGTTCACACATTCTTATTCAATGACTGCACTGGGTCTCAGCCCTACAGAGCTAGCCACAAATACTCCATGTTTATAGCCTGACTGTCAACTCTGGTCTTTAAATATTGTATTACTTAGGCATGAAAATAAAATTAAATAAAAAAATCACTTCTAAGAAAATACTAAAGGCAGGGAGATACCACTCAGAACAGGGTCATTCAGAGTGTAACTGCCCAACAATTCCTCTGATCATGCAATCAGAGGAAGGAGCAGAAAGAGCAGGGGAGTTTTCATGGGTGTGTCAAAAGAAAACAGGATACAGTTTTGTAAAGGTTGGCTTAAAAAGAGATCGAATGTTGCCTGCTCTTCTCCAGAGCTACTTTCTCGTACATGAGAATCCTGTTCCTCTGAGGCCAGGGCTTATGCTTTACTCTTCAGCTGTTCACACACTGGCTTTTTGGTGCTATTTATCCTTCCTTCCATTAACGCATTTAGGGGAAAGGTAGGCTTCCTGGTAAGTAAGGTAAGCGAAGTCTACCTTTGCTCAATAAACCGGAATGGCAGACAACAGTCATTTCCTCCCTCTTGGCCAAAACATAGTGGCAATAAAGATGGCGTTCAGTTAGACAGCAATGTCCGCACTTGCTAAATTATGCTCTGCCCAGATAGTTTCCTAGTTCATCTGGGGAGAAATAACAGCAGCTACTAATGCTTTCTCTAAAGTGCCAGTCCCAACACGTGCACCCCACTTCCCAGCACTTCTTTCTCCTACGGTTTTGATTCAGTTATTGTAAACAAGGTATCAGAACTACGACTAATGTGTCCTGAGCATGCATGTCTACAGCAGGCAGCCCCCAGGGAAGCTTCTGGGCTTCTTAAAGCCATCTGAGAATATCACTTCAAAGATCAGCTGGATAGATTCAAAATTCCAGAGAAGTCTCAGTATAATCAGTCTGCAATTAAATGCAGAGGACACCGTCTAGTTTACTGATAGGCTTCATTTCAGACATCATTTAAAGGTTTCCTTCTTCAAGGGGATTGCCTTTGGTTATTTCATCTGAAAGCAAAAGGGCGATGTCAATGAGAAATGAACCTACTTTACCATTGGCAAAAGTTTCTTCTTGTTTCTCTTTTTAATGATGATTTGCTATAACCTTTGTGTTCTTTTCTCTCTTTTGCCTTTCTTTCTTACTTGAGGAAGGAACTCACTCTGTAATCCAGGCTGATCTGGAACTTACTTAGTATATTGCTCAGGCTGGCTTCCAACTCACAGCAACCCTCCTGTCTCTAATTGCAGGAATTACTGGCATGCGCATTACAGTATTTTGTGTTTCTTTTCAGATTTTTTAAACCAGCTTCCCTCTTCTCTTCAATTCTACTGTCCTTCAATACTCAATTCCAACAAACTAAAAAGGCTTCTGATCCTATTCAGGTTCCTCTTAGGAAAACAGGGCAGTGAGTGAGTGAGGAAAGCCTTACATAAACGCCACAAACTCAGCAAAGAGAGAGATCATTTCCTAAGGGTGGCAAAGAAGACTAGACCCTCTTGAGGATCTGAAACCAACTAGAACTGGCCATCACAGACATACTCCAGAGTGTCTGAGGCCAAATACATGGTCTTCCTTTCTGATTTTTACAATATCAGATTTGTCATCATTATTGGTCAACATCTATGTATTTCTCTAAAGACCCTGGGCATGGATATTCACAACCATGCAGAATGGCTATTATTATCAATGCACATAATGTCCAGCTGAGTTTAGACATTCATGAACTCCCTGTGGGGAAAAGAGGTCTGTTTTCCTTTCTACAATCACAGACTATATCATATCAATGTCTATATGCTTGACAGAAACTAGGAGTCCAAGTAAGGTGGTCAGAATGTGATTACAGAGACTGTAATGTAGCCAGGCAACTTGAGAGAACCCACATTCCTGTCAGAGATACCATAGATAAATAACCACAACTGCTCAGAATTTTGCTTCCATGGACCATCTTCTTTTGTGGTGGGGGAAGAAGAGGCTAAGGTCTTTCTATATAGCCTTGACTGGTCTGGAACTTGCTACACAAACCAGTCTGGCTTCAAACTCATAGAGATCTGTCTGCCTCTGTCTCCCAGTTGTCCGCATTAAAGGGATGTGGCCACCATGACCATCTTACTCATGGACTAATTTTAGCGAAGAACATTCAAGGAGAGAGGGAACTGTGACATACAGAGGTTCCTAAAGGAAAGTCTTTTAAGTTTTTTGTTTGCTTCTGACAAACTTAAGAGGACTCCTGGAAATGCTCAAAGTATATAGCACAATGTTTCTAGCAGGATATTATAGAACAGAGTCTAACACACATCCTGTTTTTTTTTTTTTTTTTTTTTGGTTTTTCGAGACAGGGTTTCTCTGTGTAGCTTTGCACCTCTCCTGGAACTCACTTGGTAGCCCAGGCTGGCCTCGAACTCACAAAGATCCGCCTGGCTCTGCCTCCCGAGTGCTGGGATTAAAGGCGTGCGCCACCACCGCCCGGCTTTTTTTTTTTTTTTTTTTTTTTAAATATTTATTTATTGTGTATACAGTGTTCTGTCTGCATGCCAGAAGAGGGCACCAGATCTCATTATAGATGGTTGTGAGCCACCATGTGATTGCTGGGAATTGAACTCGGGACCTCTAGAAGAAGCAGCCAGTGCTCTTAACCTCTGAGCCATCTCTCCAGCCCCCACATCCTGTTTTATTGACTTGAAAAAATTCTCTTTAGGTACCCATTCTCCTTAACATTAACCAACACTACAGAAGGATTCAGCTCTTCTGTGGGAAGTGTGCAAAGTGTATAGAGCAATGGTTCTCAACCTGTGGGTCAAATTGCCCTATGACAGGGGTTGCCTAAGACCATTGGAAAATACAGAAATTTACATTATGATTCATAAATTAGCAAAATTACAGTTATGAAGTAGCAACAAAAATAATCTTATGGTTGGAGTCACCACAACGTGAGGAACTATATTAAAGGGTCATAGCATTAGGAAGGTTGTCTAGATGGAAGTTTCTGTCCTACCAGTGACTCCCAAAAACCCAGCAGCTGCTTCCCAAATATTTGACTTGGAGGTTTAATATTACTTATAAATGCTTGGCTGGTTGCTGAGGCTTATTACTAACTAGCTCTTACACTTAAATTAATCCATAATTATCTATTAACATGTCTTATCTATGTTTAGCCACATGACTTGGTATCTTTTCTCAGTATGGCATTATCATCTTACTTTCTCTGCATCTAGCTGGAGACTTCTGATTCTGCCCTTCTCCTTTTCCTCATCCTCAGTTTGGCTTTCCTGCCTAACTTCCTGCCCAGCTAATGGCCTGTCAGCTTTTTACTAACCAATGAGAGCAATACATATTCATAGCATAGAAAAGAATTGTTCCACAGCAAGGTTGAGAACCACTAGTATAGAGATACACACACACACACACACACACACACACACACACACACACACACACACAAAAGCATGCATATGTGTATCATACATACTAATGGATCAAGAGTTAACTGCTTAAAACCTTTTTCATAAGGTCATTTTTCTTCCTTTCTTTCTTTTTTTTTTTTTTTTTTTTTCAAGACAGGGTTTCTCTGTGTAGCTTTGGCACCTGTCCTGAATCTCGCTTTGTAGACCAGGCTGGCCCCGAACTCACAGAGATCTGCCTGGCTCTGCCTCCCGAGTGCTGAGATTAAAGGTGTGTGCCACCACTGCCTGGTATTATATCATTTTTAAGCACCCTTGCATTATATCATTTTGTTAAGAAGTATGCCCCTATTTCATTTTAGTCAGATTATATATAATAATAACATCAATGAAGATATAATACTTATTTTGACTTTTGGTATGCTATATCCCTCAGCTCCCTTCTTCTCCAGATCAAAATAGGAGAAATTAAAGTTATAGATGAAGGGCTGATAAAATAGCTTAATGATCAAAGCTGCTTATCTACAAGACTGCCTACCTGAATTCAATCCCCAGGACCACACAGTGGGAGGAAAGAACTGACTTCCACAAGTTGGCTTCTGAACTCTACACATGTACCATAGCATGAGCAAGTCCATATGTATACACATTCACATAGAAATCAAGAAATAAATGTAATTTAAAACTGTCAAAGCAAGTAAAGTAGCTAAGTTGGTAAAGCGACTTGCTGCCAATCTTGATGACCTGAGTTTAATTCCCACATTACAGAAGGAGAGAACCATCTTGTATAAGTTGTCCTTTGACCTCTACGCATGCACTGTAGCAAGTGTCCCTTCCCTAACACTCAAGTAAATGTAAAAAAAAAAAAAAGGCAAAAAGTATAGCTAGATCACAAGTCACAACTGATTTGTAAAGAACTCATACCTAAAATTATGTAATAAGCTATTATATTACTTGGAAAAATTAAATATTAAAAAATCTGGGCCTTCAAAATGAAACACTAGAAAAGGTATCTCTCGGTCTCCATTGTGTTTCAGGGTAAGAAAAGTTCTTGACCCCCCTCCCTTGACCTTCAGTTTCTAAGTACACATCACTGATGCTGAGCTTGTGGAGTATCAGTAAGCATAGCCCTCAGGGTACCCACCATAACGCTATTTCAAATTCACTTTACAAGTATTTCTTAATTAAATGAGGTTTTTTTGCTCCCAAAGTCTTTTATCTCTAGACAAGTATTAATAAAATATAATATGGTCAAATTCACTCTTAGGTAGTTCTGATATGTTAAGTCTAATCCCCATGCTCAGGTGTGCTTAGATATAAATGTTTAGGTATAGATAACTAAGACATCTCAAAACATGCAGCCCCAGATTTCCTTACTTCAGACCAGTCCAAAGCTACCCACTGAGGTGGACATGACTGGTTGTTGCAGGACTCTTTCTCCACAGGCCGGTGTGTTAAACAATCCCTGTAGTCCAGCGTCTCCTCCTCAGATGGTCCGATCCTCCTGATGCAGAGCACAGCCCTCGTGCGCATCCCCCCATCGCAAGTCTTGCTGCACTCCAGCCAGTCTCCAATGAACCATCTGAAGCAAGATGCAGAATACAGAAAAGAGTGGCTTCATTGCGCTGAGGCTTCTAGCTGAGCGGACTCCATGCTTTCCCTAGGAAAGCTGGCAGCTCACGGGGAGTTGATAGGACAACGTCAATGCAAGAGCCATTAAGCAAATCACTGTTTGCTGACACTCAGTTACCATCCAAAGTGCAATGTACAGGCTTTGAAGCAAGCAGAAACTACGTTCAAACAAGCAATGCATGATGTGTTTTCAAACTTTTTGCTTTCTCTCTCTTTTAACATTAATTTCTGAAGATAAAAATTACCTCATAAGATTTCCATGAGGATTAAATAATATATTTAAAAGTTCTAGAACATGCTGGTGAATGTTTAACAACTGGTTATCCATGGGAGGGGCAGAGTTATGATTTGTGCCATTTGCCCTATTCTTTTTGTAAAGCGTAAATACTTCACCAAGGCCAATTTCCAGCTACTGGTTTGACATTCTGAATGTGAATAAAGAACACACGCTAAGGTAGGGTCTACGGAACCATAGCTAGCTAGGTGCTTTAGACCCACCCCTGAGTGCAGGCTGGAATGTAACCAGCATGCGGCAGGGAAGACTTTTATTATAATGACATTGTAACCACTTTTCCCCCAAGTGAGAATCAGGTGCTAAATTCCAAAGGAGCTGGGGACTTGTTTTCCAATTTAGAAATAAACTCTCATGACAGTAGTAGGACTTCCCAGTCCTTACAGGGAAAGAGAAAGACCGGGAAGACAATATTCTTCCGCCAACGTGGAGTCCTAAGCCAGTCCTATGAAAACACTAAATGGGAGCTCCCTGCTTCTCCACAGCTCCTCTAGGAAAGAGCTCAAATGTCTTAAGCCTGCTCTGCACTTATGCCCCTCCTATTCTTTTTGTAAAGTGTAAATACTTCACCAAGGCCATCAATGCACTCCCATGTGTGCATAAGTTCAAGAAGGTGTTTTTGGTATTACTTCTGCACCATCGCTCTCCTGTAAATTATTCACAGGTCCACTGGGAAGCATGAGCCAGTTCAGGTCAATAAGCAGTCTACTTTAGAATTTTCATATCTCAGCTGAAGCAAAAGGGAGCCTTTCCCTTCCTGTCAAAAGGCTGCACGAGCACACCTGTCTAGAGCTGCTCGTGGCTGTGCTACCCTTAAACAGAGGATGTGGGAGGTCCTTTTGATGCCTCAGTCCATGATTCTAGTCAGTCTATGCTCACACTCTCCTGAGCTTTGTTATGTAAATCTCATGGACTGAAGTGAGCCAAGTTGAAGTTTTAATCATTTGCCACCAGAATCTTGACCAACATATCATTGTATTTCTAATAAGCATTTGCCGAATGCCTACCACGTTCAAGGTATTCTGCTTTATTTTATTTATAAAGATCCCCTGTTAGGAAATAGTGCTCCAAAGTCATGTAAAGGGTAACAATGGAGCTGAGACTGGATTCCCCATCAATTGTCATTTCCACTGAGTCTCACTGATAACATTGTCGAAAGCAGAATATATATCACAGGATATTTTCTTCGATCTATGATTATAAGCCACACAGCTGCCATGCTTATGTTCTTGGGTTTGAAATGAACCAGAGAGAGGAAAGTGAAAAGCTCAAGAACCAGCTTCTCACCCCTTCCCTGATCAAAGTCCACTGTGCAGATTTTGTATATGAAAGGCAATGTCTTAGGGACATGGGAGTACCAGCATTCTAATGTAAAACTGCATCTAGCCCACCAAGTCAAAATGGCTTTTGCTCAAGATTATTTGTTTTATCACTATTTATAGACAAAATGAGGTTGATAAATAATATCATAATCAGTTTTCAAACTTAAAAAAATATTTCATAACTCAATAAAACTTTTGACCTGAAATCCATTTTTGAAATTATAATTTAATGTTGAATTAAAAAACTTGGATAATACCATTTTTTCCTGTTAAGTCATTTTCCAAAGGAGATTGAAAGTGTTCCCCTACTCTTTTGTTTCCATAAATGAACATGACCCTGAGCTGTTAGCACCTTATTTGGTAAGGAGGAAAAACGTGTACTGAGAATAATCACTTGCATGGCAGCCATAGTGAAACTCTGATTCAATTGGCAACAGTGATTTCACCACCAAGATTAGGGGATAAAACAGAAATGTGTTTAACTCAGCCACAAAAAGCTCAGTCATACCACTTCCAGCCATGATCTCATTAGGTCTCCTAATGTAAGAGGGACGGAGACCTTCAAATTGAACACAGGTGCTCACAGGCAGTGCGATTCAGGAGACACTGCTATTCTTCAGAGCGCAGGGCCAGGGCAGCACTGTAGTTCTAATATTTACTTATTTTTTGTATTCTTTGTCTCTTCTTTTATTGTCAATAGTATTTCTTCAGAATCGTAGTCTGAACTTACCACTCTACTCATCAACTTGGAATACATGGAAGGAAATTATTGACTAAGCTCCCTGCCAATTTCCTTCCTGACTGTAATCTCAGGCTTCAAATTCAGTTCTGGTTTCAGCTGTATTGTACATCCTATTATCCCTTCCTGTGTCTCTCGGAAAGCTGATTCATGGTCTGATTATTGCAGTAAATTTTCAACCTTCCCCCTGTATCCGTCTCAGTCTCCCTGTCTTTTGTCAGTTTAGAATTGCTGCTTCCTTCTCTACACAGCCGACACCCTGGTGCCTTTCTCTTTGTCTCTTGTTTCCTCACCTTTAGATTCTGTAATAAGATATTTCCAGGAAACGTCATTTCTGGGAATATCAGCTGTTGGAGCTTTATGACCTGAGACATCTCAGAGCTGGTTCTTTCTCAATATCTAGTTATTGTTTGCTTTGAGACAGACTCTCACTCTGTAGACTAGGTTGGCTTCGAACCTACTGAGATCCACCTGCCTCTGCCTCTTCAAGTGTTGGGATTAAAGTGTGTGCTACCATGCCTGGCTTCTTCTCAATATCTAGTGATCAACATGTCTACCATCCGTTAGGGCTAAAATTAGTGCTATTCACATGGGGAGGGTTGTTTGCTTTTTCTGTCCATTTATTTTTGTCAGACAGGGTCTCACTCTGTAGCCCAGATTGGTTTGGACTCACTATGAACCCTAGGGGCCTTGTATCCCCAGCAATTCTGCTGCAGCCTCCCAAAGTTCTGAGATTAAAGGCATACGCCACAACAGGAGTAATGCTTGAACATCTGAAAACAGAGTGGCTTGCTCTACCTTGTATAATCTGATCTCATTCTACTGTCTGATTATTATTAAGAAAATAATACATAGAGGAGGGAAAAAGAGAGGAACTACATAAAATTTTGATCCAAACTTGATAAAACCAGAACATTTTTTAAGAGCTCATCATAAAAATGGACTTTTCTTTATTATTTAAAGGAAAATGGCGGAGCAAAGAAAACAAGCTGTTAGTAAATAGTTATATTCAAAGGAAAATGCAGTCTTGAACTGTGGGTTCAATATCCAGCGTTTGTGGGACAGAAGAGACAAAGATTTTTCCAGCCTTTATTCCAGGGTCGTCTAATCAACACTTTCCCCTATAAACACATTACAAAATTAAGAAAAAGTCTTCAGAATTTGGCAGTATCATCTTTAATCAACTAGAGGCAATTATATAACCTATTATTTACTTAGGAAATGCTACAGCTTTCTTCGGTTTAAAAGCAGTTCAACTAATTGGAATGTGGAACTTGGATTGGAGAGAACTGTACGCCATAAACATTCCATAGGCAAAGAACTTCCTCAATTCTTAAACATCAGTATAATAAGCATCTTTTAAATTGTGACAACTGGGAATGCTTTGAGGAAGCAAACGAAGTCAGACACATAAAGTGCCACTAGACATTTGGTTTGTAACTTAGAATGCTAGTGATGTCTGGTATAATGGGAAAAACATCACCAGAGATTAAAATCCCTCATCTGTGAAATGATGAGAGTTGGCTGAGATTATTCTATGATTCTTCCTAGTCTCAAATTTCGTAGTTTTATAGAGAATGCTCATGAATCTTTTTCTAAACTTAAAATAACAAATTATAGTTGTCCATGGGTGAGGTTCAATGACTCAAAATAATTGTCAAACATTAAACCATAAAAGATTCTATTAAATAAAACCTAGCCCCTGAATAAAAATAAATGCCTTAACTGAGCCTAGGGGCATAGAGCTGTCATCTGAGCTACTTGGGAAACTGAAGCAGGAGGCTTGCTGGAGATACAGAATAAGTCCAAGGCTAGCTTGGGCAACTTAATAAGATCCCATTTAAAAATAGAGTACAACAACAACAACAACAAAAGGCTAGAAATATAAGTCAGGGGAGAGTCCTGCCTGGCATTTGAAAGGCCCTGGGTTTAGTCCCCAGTATAAACAAACAAGTAATTTCTTCCCACTCTGGATTCCTTTTATACGTGTGTTCATAATTCTCTTACTACACTTTTATATGATAGTTATTTTTATATCTATCTGCTCAGATAGTCTTTAAGAAGCCAAACTACAGTGCTGTGCACATTTTATTGATTAATTGATGTTTTTAAATTCTAGTCTCGGTATTACTACAATGTATAGTTTTTTTTGTTCTTGTTTGGTTTCTACAAATTTAAAAGCTTTGGTATTATAGAGGAATAATATTTACATTAAGGATTCTACACATAGGTCACATGTAGAAACAGTATTGCTATTAAAACACAGCACTATGAGGACTGGCCTCTTGGTTTCCCACTGAGTTCAGCCCCACCTCCTTTTCTTCTGCAGGGACACTAGCTTCCCATCAGTTGTATCCTTTCATATTAATGTTTCTCTTTTTTTCAACCATACAAGGCTACATCATGGATTGATTTTCACTCAATTCACTACCGTGGCCCTGGTGGTAGAGGCAGGCAGATCTCTACAAAATTGAGGCCAGTCTGGTCTATATAGCAAGTTCCAGGGCTATATAGTGAGAGCCTGCCTCAATAAAATAAAATAAAATAAAATGTTCAGTATTCAGTTCAGTGAAATGGCTTTCATATATATATTGTTAGTAGGAGTGTATATTCTTAAAATCTTTCTGGGGAACAATTCAGCAATGTGTCACAAATGCTAAAATGCTCTCTTACTTGACTAGAAATTGTATTCCTCCTAATGTTGCACAGGGTATAATCACAGACAACAATGTTTTAGTGGCAAAAATGGTTAGTGCTGTGGTATCACAGGAGAGCAAGAGCTTCAACAGGGCAAGGATTGAACAACAGTAGAATTCAATTGAAATAAACAGTGACATTACTACTAAATGCTGTAAAAGATAATGTTCAAAATATACTGAGGGCTGACTATCACATATAAGGACGATACCATTTCGTTATACATACATGTGCATATATACATAGATGAACACCTAGAAATAGCATATATTACAATACTAACAGTGGTATTAATAGGAGTTATTTTCTTCACTTTATCTGCATAGCACATCAATGTGTAGAAAAAGAGCCTGTTCCTTTTCTCTCACACTCACACTCACATCGGGTCCTATTGAATCATAGCAGTCTATGATGTTCATCCCTAGAATACAAATAGCTACTAGGAATCTTATATATATATTCTAACCATTTAAAATTTCTCTTTCATTGTCTGAATTCAAAAGATTAAAGAAGAAACTTAAAAGATGCTAGGAAAAATTGACTAATAAATATATAAAAATATGTACCTTTAAATCTTTCAAAAAAGAAAAATAGACTAGACTTCCTAATTTTACATTCTCTTTATGCTTTTCTATTGAATTCCACCTCCCACCTCCAATCTGAAACAAAGAACTTCATTTCAGAATTACAAAAGGAAAGGAATTAGGAAACTTAAATTTAATCAGATGTCTTAATATGACAATTAATATTAACCATTAAAAAAAAGCCAGGTGGTGGTGGAGTACACCTTTAACCCCAGCCCTCAAGAATTTGAAGCCAGCCTGGGCTGCAGAATGAGTTCCAGGATAGCCAGAGCTGTACACAGAGAAAGCCTGTCTTGAAAACAAAACAAAATAAAATAAAATTTAAAAAAGCCTTTAATGATATATTCAACTCTACAATGTATAGACCAGTGGTTCTCAACGTGTGGGTCATGACCCCTTTTGGAGTCATGTATCACATATCCTGCATATCAAATATTTATATTACAATTTATAACAGTAGCAAAATTACAGTTATGAAGTAGCTACAAAAATAATTTCATGGTTGGGTGTCACCACAACCTGAGGAACTGTATTAAAAGCAATAGAAAGGTGGTAAACCTCTGTCATAGATGGGATGATGAATGGCTTGAAATCTTCAAGGTGTTGGGTGTTTAAGAAAGTAAGCTTGAACTAATAAAGAAGCCAGGAGTCAACATAGAACAGGTGTAACCAGTACCATCCAGGGACCTTAAATGATCAACAAGACGCCAAGTATGATATTTAAAGTCTTGAATGACAGGGAATTAACTTGATGAGCAGAATTCACAATTACACAAAATATGGTAGATCTACTGGGACAAAACTTAGATCATGGATTTTGACTATTGCTTTGTTTTACATAGTTTTTAAGACAATTTGAGATTAGCTTATAAAGCTAATTAGTAGAAAAAGAAAGTAAGTGGTCTTTTCTAAAAAAGGTCTAATCAATCTTGTTGCTTTGCGTGCCTCACTTGGTGGGAACTACCACACAATTTTACAGAAAGCTAGGGGGTATGTCTGCAAATATGAATACATAGTGTTTGCTTGCGGTCAAAGAAACAAATTCTTACTTTTTGTCATACTTACTCAGGTGGACAGGGCTCAGTGTTGCAGGCTCTTTGATTTTCAGGTGGCTTACTGTCAGGGTCACAGAAATTGTTCTGGACGATGGAGTTGTCATCCAGTCTTTTACAGACCACTTCTTGTCTTTGGGCACCTTTAAGAAAAGGAAGGGCATCATTAACTGGAGAGTAGCTTCCCTTCCAAAAGGCGAGGCATGTATTGCTTTCCTTTGGGAGTTACTCTCACTGCATCCCTGATGTTCTATCTGTTCCAAAACACTGTCTACTTCTCCAAAAGAAGAGAAGGACTGGTCATTATAGCCAAATTTTAAGCAAAATTATTGTTCTCATATTTAGAATCACAGATGTTTTGAAACTGTGATCAGCATTCCCATTTTTATGTTCATCTTCATGCTTTCCTTTAAAAAATCCTTGAATTTTCCCAAATGCCATGAGATAAAATGTATTAATATGCATTTCAATAGAAGACAATAGATGCATATTTATTCAAAAACAAAATGACAGGGACTAACTTACTTTCTGATATTTTGTAGGACAAGAGGAAACAAGGTCATTTTCCATTAGGAATACATCACACCCACACATTTCACTTATTTTCTTCAATTTATGATTGCATCTCTCTAAAAGCTCATCAAGCTTTGATTTCATATGTCATAGACCACTTTTGGACTATGAGAAACTGGTCTGTTATTTTAACAGAGTTGAATACCTGTTGATTATATCACTGTCAAAGAGATACATACATAGCTCATTCTAATATAACTTAAAAAATACTTATCTTGCTCTTAAAAATTAGTCCATGTGACTTGTTAGCACAACTAAAAACATTCTCATTTTACAATTTACAAAATTCTTAATTATATGCTATGATTTACTGGCAGACATACCTACCACAACTTGCTCACATTTCACAAAATGTGATCACACACACACACACACACACACACACACACACAGACTTTTATTTATAAACATCCTTGGTGGGATTTTAATATATACTCATTTTTTCTTTGTATCAGTAATCAACAGACAGATATTTCAAGATATCAAAGAGAAACAAGTGTTTCAGATCATACAAAAGACACTGTCAACATTTTACTCTTGGAAATGGGCATAAAAACACGAGTCAAGCTGTTCCCCGAAATTATCCACCCTGCCCCTATGAACACATAAGCTGAATAACTCAGAGTTGTAAACTAACACTGACAACATGCAGGTAACCACCGATTTGCACTCCAGCTAATTCTACACAGTTTTTGGCTGCTTGCCTGCCTGTCCGCCCACCTGTCCATCTGCCCCCTCCTCCCCACCTGCCTCCCTCCCTTTCTTCTAGTTATTTTTAAGTTGTAATATAATTTTTTAAAAAGGAGTTTGTTCACAAATGTGAGAGTCCTTATGAAACAGGATCATTTGATGAAGGAAACTTTCCCCTGAAGAACTAGACACAAAATGCTTCTCCCAAGGCTGCCTAGGTCTGGGTTGAGCATATCTCCACTGTCCTGCTATGGTCACATTCAACTAAACCCTTTGGATTTAAGAGATTGACAGGAGAGACTATTAAGTCTACTGATCTCAGGAGACTAAGTCCTCTAGTCTCCATCTCAATGGCGAGTTGTTGAAGAAGGTTTATTTCATTGCTTGCAGTGACAAGACTCCTGAGATCGCCTTCAGTAACATGTTTTTAGGGGTCTGAACTATACCCAAACAATTTACTGGCAAAATGTCTTAAACTATGTTGCATTCATCCCTCCCAATCCCTAGAATAGCAAATGACAGCAGTGGAATTTTTTAACTATTAAAATCGAGATTTTTGAGGGAAGAATGATTCATAAGAAGCATAGCTGTTATCCATTCACAGATGTTCCATGATATTCATCACATTACCTCCCCACTGTGTCATTCCAGTGGGCAGATAACTATGTCCATGTGGTCACCTAGTCAAATACCTCTGCTGTTAGTCACAGAGCTCGGCTACCAACAGTGGCTCAGATGAGCAATTTGTCCACTCCGAAGGAAATGTTCACTCGTTCAAGAGCAAGGGGTTGCTTTTTTAGGTTTAGCGTGTATTTTTAAAAGGCATCAAATGTGACTACTCTTGAAACAGAAATGCTGGCCGTTAATACAGTATGTCAGTCGACTCTCAGAAAAGGCTAAACATCAAAAACTACAAAAAAGGAGCCGGGCGGTGGTGGCGCACGCCTTTAATCCCAGCACTCGGGAGGCAGAGGCCGGCGGATCTCTGTGAGTTCGAGGCCAGCCTGGGCTACCAAGTGAGTCCCAGGAAAGGCGCAAAGCTACACAGAGAAACCCTGTCTCGAAAAACGAAAAAAAAAAAAAAAAAAAAAAAAAAAAAAAAAAAACTACAAAAAAGAATTGATGTTGCTTAGTTCCAGTGACAGAAACTGTTAAGTCAGTTTCTCCAGGTTAAGATAAAAGTTCAGTTTCTTTCAGAGAGCACTACAAATGTTGTTTGTCCACACTGTATTTGTTTAAAGCAGCCTTTATTATAAAAGCAGGTCCTCCGCAATTTGAATCACAGATCAGACTGGTATAAGTAATTAGCAGAGATTTACATTTCATTTTTAGATAAATTCTAGCTATGTAAGTCTCTTGAAAATATTTTCTATGTAATATTTATTGCTAAAAACTAAGGAAACAGAGAGAACCACACAGAATAAAATAAACATTAAGAATAGTCTCATATTGTTCTAGAGCCTAGAGCTCCTTTGCTATTTGGTAAAACCCAGCTTCTTGAGTGATGCTCAACTTCATATTAAGAATTACAAATTAATTCAACTTTGGCCATGCCTTCCATATAGCCGAAAAACTGGAAACTAAGGGACTTCTAGGTCTTTATAACTTAAGCATGCTGTTTTTTGATGAAGTAAAAATTAACATCCTTGAAAACATAACTAAAATTGTTCTATATTTTACAAAGATATTTTTTCTTACACTCATCTTTTATTTATTTTCTTCTAATATGTTGTTATCAGTGTGGCATTAATCTATTTCAAATCTTCTCACAACACTATACTATTTTCCTCTAATAGAATACATATTCCTTCCAGGTTTTATTCTCACACCAGGCAGGTTGATAGTTTTGTTTGTTTCTGTTTTGAACCTAAGTCAGTATCAACAGGATGACTATAAAGAAATTAATCTAAATGGATAGATTTTTAAACACAACCTTTAAATCAAGGTGAATACAGCTTTTAACTTTAGAAAGTAGAAAATACAGATCAAGTGGAAATAATCTAAGTGAACAAGAGAAATGGGGTTTAGGTTATTTGCATGTGATCATGCTTCATGCCCACATAGTCTCTTTTAAAGTAGTATGTAAAACATTGACAAGTTCATTTAAAATCCTATTATAATACAGTTATATAAGATTGGTATGCTTTCAAATCTGAAGACGCATAGTTTATGTCCAGAATGTATAAGATGTCTACACTAGCAGTAAGTGCACATCTAGTGGGAAAAAATTCTCATGCCTCAGTGTTCCTAGCCTGTGGAGAGAGGCAGATGGTCTGAGAATTCAACTGACCAAATTAAAACTGACTATATACTTACTGTTAAAAAAAACCCTTAAGTTATTAGCATGAAAACTTTTTATACAATCCCTCCATGTTATAAAATTAATGAATTTAAAACATTACAAAAGTACAAATAATTTTTAATTTCTTATTTTGTTAATACATATTTACCTTAAACCTTTACCAAGAATATGTCCTAATTATAACCATTTAACTTGCCCATATTTCATTTTTGATATTTAAGAATCAAATATGACAAATGACGGTTTTAAGTATAGAAATGTAAACATAACCCTGGGGCTAGAGATGTAGCTCAGTGGTGCAGCATTTGGCTAGCATGTGCAAGGCATTAGGTTCAATTTCCAAAATTTAGAGGAAAAAAAAAGACTCCCTCACTTTTGGTCTGTGATCTTAAATTTATTAGAGGCTCTGTTTAATATTCTGCCAATAGTTTAAAGTGAGGATCTACTTGGCTACCACATGCCCTGTTCTACCATACAAGACCTGAACTTGGACCACTGCTTAAATCACACAACAGCAAATGGTGTTTCGTGGCATGCTGTAATAGTACAGAACACAGGAAAAGCAAGAAACCCACCAAACGGCAAATGAGATCTGGATGAAGCTGTTTCCTGTTCTCACGGTAGGACTGTACAGGTGGTGGATATCTCTCTCTCATCGAGGAAACTTCACATTCAGGCCAATCCTGAGTGAAGTCCTCAGAGGACACTGACCTTCTTTGTTTCTGATAATTAAATATTTTTACAGACTCGTTTATAACACAATATTTGAAGTCATGCTGCTTTTCTTGTGGCAGTTCACCATTAAAGAATTAAGTTCACCAGTTCATTCTTTTTTAAAGTAGAAACCAGAAGTCAGTGCTTAAAAGTTTAACATGGAACAGTGTTACATGTTAAATCAGGAAGTATGAGGGCAGCAGGGGAGGGAGGGGGCGGGGGGGGGGGGGGGGTTAAGGGCAAGAGAAAGACCTAGCCATTCTCAATTCTACAAGACCTAACATTTCAGCCCTAAGTGGACACCATCAGAAAGTATGATTAAGTCAATATGGGAAAGAATGAGAGGTATAAATGTACACTTGGGATTGAAGGGATAACTGATCTCCAAATAACTGAACAGAGTGGCACAGTGTGTCATCTCTCCCCAGGAAACAGATTTCTGGAGAGGAAGAGAAGAGAATACCCAGATTTTATACTAAAAATGTAGCTAGGGCTAAGGCAATAATTTGCTTAGCCACAGCATCTAAAGTAGTTAACAACCAAGACAACGTTATATAACCACAGCATACATAGCATATAGCCAACAACATTAATGTAATCCTGATACTCAATGCCTATAGCATCCAAAGAGTGACAAGTGCCAGGAAAACAAAACAAAAATACAAAAAAAAAAAAAAAAAACCAAAACAAAACAAAAAAACCAACAAACGCTGTTTGCTCTGTCTTCAACTGCTGGAATCTGGCTGTTGTGTTGTGTGATTGTTGGCCAGACATAAGCATTTGTAGGGCACAGCAAAGTCCATCTGCCTTGGATCTAACAGCTGGCACCCAGAGTACCAATCCACTCCACCCACATGGCTTCCT